CCCCAAAACCCCAAAACCCCAAAACCCCAAAACCCCACAAGTAATATAATAACTAAAATAGTGAATTAGCGCAATGTATTAACGAAAATTTATTAAGTAACTATGATTTCTCAATTAGACTTTTGATATTGGTTTAATCTCATTGAAGATATTCAGGGTGAGCCTTCAATTCCTCCTAGGGCCATATTCCCACTTGAATTTCTCCAATATGCCTTTTTCTCAACATCCACATAAGCACTCTGTCGATCCCAATACCACCTCCAATTGAATATACAATTTTCTCATCAACAATAGACTTGTGATAATCCAATTATTTAGTGTACTCCCAGCTTCCTCGAATAATTGATTGCAATTCTAACGATTTAGGACATACTCTTATGCCCATAGATGAAAGTTCTAGTGCAGTATCTAAAGTAGAATCCCAAACTAGAATATCTCCATTTAAACCTCGGTACCCATTATCGCAGTTCTGAGTAGACCAGTCATCTTAGTCTGGATTTCTATCGCCATGAGGCTAGCTGCTCTTAGGTAGAGGATAGCCAATACCTATGATGAATACTGCACCAAACTCCTTAGTGATGCTAACTTCCCTTTCTCTTGGTGTAAGATTAGGGAATCTTTCCTCTAGTTCCTCTGAGTGTATGAATTGAATTTAATCAGGCAATTAGCATTCTAGTTAAGCTGAATATCGTTTGACAAGTTCTTCCTCTACTTATTTGAGACTATTGAAGATTTTTCTCACAGTACTTTAGAGATATTCAATATTTCTATCCTTTTTTAGGATTGTTTATTCCCACTCGAGCTGGGTTACGTACAAGGAGTGTATAGGAGTAAGCTTAGGTTCGTAAGCTCTTATGAAATGTCCCTCAGTGTAGATTCCACTATAGGGCTCAAAGCCTTGATTAGATATTAAATTTCTTTTCCATTTTGCAAGAGAGTGAAGAGTTTCTAAATGAATCCCAGGTAACTAATGATATTAGAAATTGACTAAAGACATTGTATTTCTATGATTTAAGGGCATATCTTATAAGCCAGTACCTGCAGGAATGAAAAGTGGGGCTTACACTCTAATCAAGTTAAGCTCATTAGATAAAGAGTCGAAGAACTGTTGCTTGATAAAATTAATAGCTCTCATCAATTCTTTGTAATTAATGAGAGAATTTACTTCTAAACTTATTATTGGAGTTACCATTAAAGGTTAAGTTAAAGATACTAGTTATATGATTTTAAGATTATATATATTTTTCAGAAAATAATATTATAGTTTCTTTGCGGGGTTTTGGGGTTTTGGGGTTTTGGGG